ACTAAAAAGATTAGAAGGAGGAAATCCATCATGGTTAGGACGTATGAACCTAATTAAAATGGTAATTATACCTAAAATACTCTATAGATTTCCAATGATCCCGATCAAACTCCCAGAGGCGTTTTTTAAGATAATGAGAAAAATGTTAACAAGATATATATATGAAGGAATAAAAAACCAAGAGTATCATATGAAACACTAAGTAGGACTAAAGAGAAAGGGGGGATGGGACTACCTGATGTCAAGAGATATTACAAAGCAGTAATGTTAGCAAGAATTTATGACTGGACTTTTAATCACAAGGGGAAAAGTTGGGTAAAAATGGAAAATGATCTGAGTGGAATTAATTTGAGTAGGATGATATGGGTTCCAGCACATTATAGAAGAATTAAAGAGGGCACAAGCACTTACACCTTAATTGTCTTAAGGATATGGGATAATTTACATAAACACATGAAATGGGAATTCAACTCTATATTAATGCCTCTTGCAAACACGGAGTTTTTCCCCCCAGGAAAAGATGAGATATCAGGGAGATGGTTTAAAAAGGAAGATATCCAATTGAGAGACATATTGGTAGAGGGGGAATTGAGAACATTTAAAGAATTAAAAGAGATGGGAGGAGATATGTTTACTAAAATAGATGAGTGGAAATATCATCAATTAAAATGTTTTATAGGAACTCTCCCAAAAACCCTTGAGATTAAAAAAGGAGTGGAATATGTTTGAAAGGCTATTAGAAACACGTAGAGATGGGAAACACGGTGTTACAAAAATGTATAGAATACTTACAGAACTAGACACAGACACAAAGTTAATTTTCATAACAAATTGGGAAAGAGATATGGGGGTGGGGATAGATGAAGATCAACAGAATAAGATATTTAGATTAGTTCACGAGAGTGTTAGTATGAGAGACGTTGAGATTAACTATAAATGTTTGACACGATGGCATATTACACCGAGCACTGAGCACAGGATGAGGGGGGAGAATTCAAAAATGTGTTGGAGAGGATGTGGGGAAGAGGGCACGGTGTTTTCACATATGGTGGCAATGTCCAAAAATTCAGGTTTTCTGGAAGACAATAGTCAAATTAATAGAAATAATAACTGGAAATGACATAGGATTAGACCCAACCATGTGTCTCCTACATAGTGTTGAGACAACAGTAAATAAATATAGAGAATCAGGTGTATGGTACTACTTAAGTGCAGCAGGTACCAACGGAGGAGGATTGGATCAATAGGGTAAAAACCAGATTAGCAGAATGGAAAAATCTTATCATATGCAGGAAGACAGGATGAAAATATACTATTCACGATGGGAAAAATGGGAAAAATCGGGATTGAAAGAGAAATATAGAAAACTCTAAACTAGGAAGCTATTCGAAGTTACTGGGCCTAGAGAGACTGGAGATCTTGCAGAGGGGAGGGAGGGGGAGAAGGGGGGAAATGGTGGGTTGGGAGGGAAGGGAAATAAAAGAGGTAAATAGAAGGGACAGAGTAGAAATGTATTGATATTTATATGTATTGTGTCTCTTCTTATGGAAATTTTGTAATAATGTGAAAAATTAATAAATATTTAAATTAGAAAAAAAAAAAAGAACAGAACATTTGGAACTGGACTCGGCTGCCAAAATCAAGTTGAAAAAAAAATCATTAACAGAGGTCAGACTAAAAAGCCTTCATTCTGAGACTTCTGCCCAGTCCAGATCTTAATGTTCTGTTACTATCCAGCCCTGAAGAAGGTAACCTTTGTAACTCTCAAAATGTGTTGGCTTTTCCTGGTGGTTACAAATAACGTCTCATTTTGGACTTTTACAGGTGGAGGCAAACAGGCTGGTATCCTCGTAGTGATTACTCTAGCACAGGGCCATCTTAATAGCATCATGGGTCCCTGGGAAAAGCAATGCACTGGGGCCCCTATCAGCCTGTCCCAATTTACACACCTACTCTCAAGAATTAAAGTATAAATATTTGTTAGAATTAAACATATACTTATTAGTATTTTTAATACAATCACTTTTAAACAATAAGAAAGCATGCCATAAATCAGAGACTAATCAACACAAAGGACACAGTACAGGGAGGAGGCAGAAGGGCATAGTATGAGGGGTTGTGGCGGGTCAGGAGGGCACAATACTGGGATCAGGATGGCACAGTACAGATTCCGGGACGCTGCACAGGACATATCCATCCCAGGACAGCTTAGATAAAATCATGGATATCCCAGCAAATCTGGGACAGTTGGCAAGTATGATGTAATGCAAAATTGTCATGGGACCTCCAATGCACCTGGGGCCCTTGGGCACTGCCCAGAGCTGCCCATTCATTAAGACAGCCCTGTTCTAGCACCTGTGCTTTATTACTACCAGCCAACAAAGAAGTATACCATGATAAAGGATGCTGGACTATGGGAAGGTGGTTAGCCACTTCGTGTTCCAGTAATCTGTTAAGGCTCATAGTTCATTTCTGTTGAAGCACAAAAATTGTTCCAGTACAGACATAACCTTGTGAACCTTAAGAACTACATCTCTCCTAATATTTTCCTCATTTGCAGATCCCAAAGTCTCAATGTTCAGAAAACTGTTTGCCAGGAACCAGGAAAGTCACAAAATCCGGGATCCATTCCTGCTGCTATGATTGTGTCCAGTGCTCTGAAGGGGAGATATCCAACATCAGCAATATTCAGACATTTATACATTTTTATCAAAACCATTGTTCCATATATATATATATATATATATATATATATAGTATGTTTATAATGAAAAGATGTTTAATTGACATTTAATAGTGAACTTCAAACCAAATTTAAAATAGAATATGTATGTATGTAAATGTATATTGGGTCTAGGCACTAAGTCAGGCCCTATATAAATTATTGCACAGATAGCAAACACCTTTTAGGTATGCTTTGTCTAAATGCTCCAGTTCTTGGGTTCCTCAGGGAACTAATGCTGAAGTGTACAGGATCTTGGTGGGTTGGACAAAGCCAAACATGAATCCGACAGGTGCTAGAGGGTGGTCAGTGGTCTGGCCAAGTCAATCCCGAATGAGCTGATATGACACAATATATCCCTATATCAAGCAGAGGGCAAAGCCAGACAGACATAGACATAGAGAATAGATAGAGAAGATACAATAATGTGAGGCTTTGGATAAGAAATTGGCCCTGTTCCTCATTGTGAAGGTACATCCATACTACACTATGAAGTACAATAACTCTGGCTAGACAACTCTAACATAAAGGAGCCAAAGTTGCCTCTGGTAAACAATGGAAGATAAAACAGAATCACCACTACAAGCTTCAAAGTTTACAAGTCAATGTATTTTGGGGTCTATAGGTTTCCACCTTTGTCATGGCTTAGATTGCTGGCTTAATTTGACTCTTAGTAAATAAAGGGAGGTAAATAAATTCTGGAATAAATTGTCTCCTTGAACCATAAAGTTGCTCTGACATACAGTAGAGCAGGGGTCTCCAAACTTTTTAAACAAAGGGCCAGTTTACTGTCCTTCAGAATTAATCAAGGCTGCGGACAGTGAGCATTGGGAGTAGGAACGGTCCCAATGTCAGTGGGAGCAAACAATACCTTATCTCTGGTGTCATTGGGAGGAATTGTGCCCCTTTGTTGGTGCCATTGGGCCGCATTGTTGGTATCATTGGCAGGTATTGTGCCCCATCTTTGGTGTCATTTGGAGGAATTATGCCCCTTCACTGATGTCAGTGGGGGGAATTATACCCCATTGTTGGCATCAGTGAATGAAAATAGTGCCCTAAGGGCTGGATAAAAGAGCAAAGGGCCCCATCCGGTCCCTGGGATGCAGTTTGGAGATCACTACAGAAGAGTATCAAAACCAGCTGCTGAAGGAACTCCCAAAACACATTAGAATATCATCTTTTGTTATCTTTGGACTTCTGTTATAAAATAAATATTCTTGGACTTGGACTATAATTTTGGTACTTGCCCTTATTTTGCTTGTACCTTCCAAGATAGAATTTCAGTCAGAGTTAGAACCAGAGGTTTTTGCCAGGGGTTCCAGGAACCATATGCCAAAGCCATGCCCAATCAGGACAGCCATAGTCCAAATGAACAAGCTCAGGTCAACACAAAAACAAATTCATACCCATGAATACTAAAAGATAAAACAATATGGAGTCATTTGACATTGCAAAGGAGCAGTAACCAATCAGCATAGTCCATACTTAACTTCACCTTCACTCCGTAGTGTTTACAGCTTGCTTGAGTATATTTTCATAAATCAAAAGGCCAGGATTAACTTAACAGATTGTCTAGTTTTATGCTATAATTAAGCGAATTAAAACTCAAAATTCATATTTGTCTGTATTTGGTACTCTTGACTTGAACAAAGATCTTGTAATACTTTATTTTTATTGTGTATACAGTATTATACCGTTTGGTTCAGTTTCAAGTCAATGTTTTTGTTGATATTTTTATGGATTTGTAAGTATATTTTTTGTTGGTGTGGTTATGTGTGATTAATTTTTTTTTTCTGTTTTTTTTTTTCTCCAATAATTAATTTTTCACTGTAGATATTTTCTGAAGTTTTTTCATCTCCTGAGGAAGCGGGCATTGTCTCGTGAAATACGTCAAGAGCATTGTGCAAGAGCTTATCTACTTATGCATTGTCTTTGATTGCTTAGGATTAGGTTATGTTTTACAGTTGAACATATAAATATCAAGTTCTTTAATTCTGTATGAATTTTTTAAGATGTATATATTTTATAAAAATTAAAATATATTTTTTATTACCTCTAATGTGTCTCTTTAACCACTTGCCTACCGGACACTTTTACCCCCTTCCTGTCTAGGCCAATTTCCAGTGCTGTCGCACTTTGAATGACAATTGCGCGGTCATGAAACATTGTACCCATATGACATTTTTATCATTTTTTTTAACACAAATAGAGCTTTGTTTTGGTTGTATTTAATCACCACTGGGGTTTTTATTTTTGGCACTATAAACAAAAAAAACACAAAATTTGAAAAAATAAAAAGGTTTTCTTTGTTTCTATTATAAAATTTTGCAAACAGTTAATTTTTCTCCTTCATTGATGTGCATTGATGAGGCTGCACTGACAGGCATCACTGATGGGCACTGATGAGGTGTCAAGGATAGGCAACACTGATGGACACTGATAGGCTGCACTGATGAGGTGGCACTGGTGGGCATTGATGAAGAGGCACTGATGATGCTGCACTGATAGGTGGCACTGATGGGCATTGATGGGTGGCACAGATGGGTGGAACTGACTGGTAGCATTGACTGATGGAACTGAATGGTGGCACTGCTGGGTGGCATTGCTGTGCACTGAAGGGTGCAACTGCTGGGAGGCACTGCTGGGCAGCACTGATGGGTGGCATTGCTGGGCACTGATGAGTGCACTGCTGGGCACTGGTGGGTGGCACTGCTAGGCAGCACTGCTGGACACTGATCATCAGGGCACTGATCATCAGTGCCCTGACTATCAGTGCAGATGTCCTCTGTGACATTTGCTGGTTATCAAAAGTATTTCCTCTAGCTGTGACAGAGTGAGGAAAGTGCTACTGATAACCAGCAACTGTATTGGACACAGCTGATCACGTGGTAAAAGGCCGCTGTGATTGGACAGCACTGGGTGCAAGCCACTGGGGGTGTGCGTGGGGCATGTTCTGGGAGGGCATCATATGACTCCCTCCCAGAACTGGACAACCACGCTGTAGCCATCTACATGGCACAGTTGTAAAGTGGTTAAAGTCCCTTAGATATTTTCTGTGTTTCTAATTATCCCTTCAAGTTGGGTGGGGGTTTAGGTTCTTCATAATGTCATGACAAAGCAACATTTGTGAACATAGCTTCTGAGCAATAACAAAACTGGACTTAGAGATGAATATTTACATAATCGTATTTAGCTTTATCATAGTCCCTTGCCTGAACCTAGCTCAAGAAATGTACCATGGATGGGTTCATAGTAAGTTCTGTCCTGTAAGCAAAACAATAAATCCACATTGTTCCTTTGGAATACATTTTCTCAGTGTTCTTTCCATGATTCCTGTTCAAAAATAAGAATTAAAATAAAAACTGACATATCTTATATATCACCGAATATTATAAAACATCATTCATGTGTCTTTTGTGTTTTCCAGCCAGTGAAAACTGCCAGCCATGCAGATACGATGAATGGCCCAATGGGAAGAAGGACCGGTGTGTCCAAAAACTGCTGGATTTCCTGTTTTACTCTAATGACCTTATAGGAATCATCTTTGCCTCATTCTCCTCTATTCTTTGTGCAATGACTGGATATATTATTAGTTTTTATCTCACACCAAGACACAGCTATTGTAAGCACCATCAACAGGAACCTGAGCTTCACCCTTCTGGTCTCCAGGATTCTGAGCTTCCTCTGTGTTTTCTTCTTCCTTGGAAATCCTGCTGATATATCCTGCTTGTTGCGTCAAACGTCATTTGGAATCCTCTTCACGATTGCCATATCTTGTGTCCTTGCTAAAACTATCATGGTGTATGTGGCATTTAAGCCACAAATCCTGGCAATCTGTGGAAACCATGGATCGGAGCCAAACTTTCTAATGTCATAGTGGTTTTATGTTCATCCATTCAAGTTATAATTTCTGTCATCTGGTTGTCTATCTCTCCTTCCTTCCAGGAGTTGGACACCTATTCTTATCAAGACAGGATCATCACTCAGTGTAATCAAGGGTCAGTTATTGGGTTTTATTCTGTTCTTGGTTACATGGTGTTTCTGGCACTTTTGAGTTTTGTTCTGGCTTTCATGGGGAGGACATTACCGGACAGTTTTAATGAGGCCAAGTACATCACCTTCAGCATGTTGGTGTTCTGCAGTCTGTGGATTGCCATGATCCAGTCTGAGCACCAGTGGGAAGTACATGGTGGCTGTAGAGATATTCGCCATACTGAGCTCCAGTGCCGGAGTCTTAGGTTGTATATTTCTCCCCAAATGTTACATTATCTTATGGAGATCGGAACTGAACACCAAAACGTTTTTACTGGGAAAAAATGGTAATTAGTACCATTGGAAAATATATTTGGCTCCATAAGAAAGTCTTAATAAACTAGCTATTCATAATAAAACAAAACATTTCATGTGAAAATTAACTGTAAAACAAGATAATTTAATATTGTAAAAATTACACAACTTTGACCATTCTTAAAAATGAGCTCCAGGCTAGATAATTAATATTTACATTCAAGTGGCATGTATATTTTACTTAAATCTTAATGTGCTTTGTGTATTTTTTGCATATCAGTAATCTAGCTTGAGAAATTTCTGTGGTTTTCCTTTGTGCTGGAGTTTCCTGTGATAAAGACCAGTCACTGCTGCTCCCCCTTCTTGTACAGAGTGACTGCTATTGTCTTTGATCCCTCCTATAGTTATTTACAGTGTGCCTGTTGTCACCTGTGCAATAAGTCCATCCGTGACATTTCCAGGCTGCTAAATATTCCAAGGTCAACTGTTAGTGGGGTTATAACAAAGTGAAAGCAACTGGGAACAACAGCAACTCAGCCACCAAGTGGTAGACCACCACACAAATTGACAGACCAGGGTCAGCACATGCTGAAGCGCATAGTGTGCAGAAGTTGCCAACTGTCTGGAGTCAATAGCGGGCAGCACAGTGGCTAAATGGTTAGCACTTCCACCTGGCAGTACTAGGGTTGTTGGTTCAAATCCCAGCCGCAGCACCTCCTGCCTGGAGTTTTCATGTTCTCCCTGTGCCTGCATGGGTTTCCTCTGGGTACTCCAGTTTCCTTCTACACTCCAAAGACATGCTGGTAGGTTAATTGGATACTGTGTAAATTGGCCCTTGTATATGAATGTGAGTTAGGGACCTTAGATTGTATGCCCCTTGAGGGTTAGGGACTGATGTGAATGTACAATATATATATATATGTAAAGCGCTACATAAATTGACAGCACTATATAAGTACCTGAAATAAATAACTAAAGACCACCAAACTTTGTTTGGCCTTCAGATCAGCTCAACAGTGCATAGAGAGCTTCATGGAATGGGTTTCCATGGCTGAGCAGCTGCATCCAGGCCTTACATCACCAAGTGCAATGCAAAGCGGCGGATGCCGTGGTGTAAAGTATGCTTCCACTTGACTCTAGAGCAGTGGAGACGTGTTCTCTGGAGTGACCAATCATGCTTCTCTGTCTGGCAATCTGATTGAGGTGTCTGGGTTTGGTGGTTGCCAGAACAGTACTTGGCTGACTGCATTGTGCCAAGTGTAAAGTTTGGTGGAGGGGGATTATGGTGTGGGGTTGGTTTTCAGGGGTTGGGCTTTGCCCCTTAGTTCCAGTGAAGGGAACTCTTAAGGCATTAGCATACCAAGACATTTGGGACAATTTCATGCTCCCACCTTTGTGGGAAGAGTTTGGGGATGGCCGTTTCCTGTTCCAACATGACTGCACACCAGTGCACAAAGCAAGGTCCATAAAGATATGGATGAGTGAGTTTGGGGTGGAGGAACTTGACTGGCCTGCACAGAGTCCTGACCTCAACCTGCAGAACACCTTTGGGATGATTTAGAGCGGAGACTGCAAGCCAGACCTTCTCCCCCAACATCAGTGCCTGACCTCACAAATGTGCTTCTGGAAGAATGGTCAAACCTTCCCATAGACACACTCCTAAACCTTGTAGACAGCTTTCCCAGAAGAGTTGAAGGTGCTATAGTTCCAAAGGGTGGGTCATCGCAATATTGAATCCTATGGACTAAGACTGGGATGCCATTAAAATTCATGTGCGTATAAAGGCAGGCAGCCTATTACCTTTGGCAATATAGTGTATTTGTAATGGGATTGGCAGAGATGGGCAACAGATGAGCTAGTGGGAGGTAATAGTGTAAGGAATGGCAGAGAGTAGCAGAAGATGAGTTGGTGAGAGGTATAAATGGTGGGAATGGCAGAAATGGTCAGCAGATGAGCTGGTGGATGTTATCAATAATGAGAATTGCAGAGAGGGACATGAGATGAGCTAGTGGGAAGTATCATTAATGAAAATGGCAGAGAAGGGGAACAGATGAGCTGGATGGGGTTATCAGTGATGGGAATGTCACAAATGGGAAACAGATAATCTGGTGGGAAGTATAAATGATGGGAATGACAAATAGGGGCAGCATATGAGCCAATTGGTTGCACCAATAATAGGGATGGCAGAGAGGTGGAACATATGATGATATACCAGTGACAGAAATGGAAAAGGCGGGTAGTAGATGAATATATACGTATTTGGGGTGTATCTTAGTTAGGGGAGACCTGTCAGGACAATGGGAAGATAGGAATCAAGAGACAGATAGATGACTGAAGAAATTTTCCTTTTGAACAATACTCCTGGGATGAGCACCTTATTATTGGGCACACAAAGGTTCACCACCATTTGAAACAGAACTGTTGAACGATTTATTGAAAAGATGTGGTTTAATGGAATTTTTAATAAACCTGTTCCAATAAAATTAGGTTGGACTAAGTCTTTGGCTGCATTATATGTCTGAAATGATTTCTCAGTATCCTTGTTCCTGAGAAGTGAGCCCATGCCAGGAAGCCCATGCTAGACGGTGCAATTCATGAGGTACACACTTGTAGAAGCAGAATCCCAGTTACCTGAACTGATTGCAAACCTGATCGGGTTAGGGGATGGTGGTGGATGGAGGAAGAGAGAACCTTCCCTGGAACTACGTGCAGGTCATCAGGCCTGATGCAGTGAATGTCCCCAGCAGGAGGAACAATGTGTCAAGGGAGACCAGGAGTATGTTGTATGTGTGTGTGCATTGAGCACACCATTTGTGCAAGAGTGAGGAAGAGGGCTACGATAAGGGCTGTTTACTGTAGATATAGCCAGTGTTAGGTCGGAACTAGCCCAGTTTTAGGTAGGCCTTGGTGGTGGACAACTGGGTCCGCCTACAACATGATCCCCTGTGTCAGTGAGAAGGAGGATTATATTTGTCCTCACCTTAATATTCCAAAAGCTCCTATGTGGCAACATTATTATAGGAATATTACGGTGAGTAAGAATAGATGTAGGGATAGCTTCTTTCAGAGGGCTATAAATGCTACTAATATGAAAACTAAATCTAGTTAGTATAGCTAGTTATGGGATTAACAATACCAGAAAGTGGAATTGCATCATCATATTTTAATGATGTGAATGTTTCATTTATTTATTTATTATATGGTTTGGATTAAATGTTGCCTATATGTATGGAAGTCATTGTTCTTTCAATGTGAGAAGTGGCATTGTAATTTCCTTGTTATATTTTTATGACAACAACAAAGGCTTTCTGTTCTGTTGCGTTCTATTCTATTCTATGGAAAATCACATATTGATCTTTCTGAGATAAAGTACATTTGGATCAGTGACTTACCTTTTAAATGGGGAGCATGAAGGTGACTGGTGAAAGTCAAAGGAAGGATTGGTTTTAGAACCATTTATTGGAGATTGTACAAGAGGAAATAAGGACAGTGATTGGCACCACAGTACAGAAGAATACAATGTCTGACTGTTTAATGTTAGGCTGGAGTATTCTCGTTTTTTTTACATTTTCTTTTTATGGCCAAGTAATAATCCAATTTTATGTTGGACTATTATTCTGTGTTGGGCTAGTTTATTTAAATGTATCTTTGACTATTTTATTATATTTTATATTGGGCCATTTCTTTAATTTTGGGTGGAGCCATTTTCATTAATTTTATGTTAGACTATATTTTTTTTGTAAATCTTTTGTTGGTGCATTTTTTTTAAATTTTATGTTGGACTATTTTTTTAAACCTTTGTTGGACCATTTTCTTTAATTTTATGTTGGATTATTTTTTTAAAATATATGTTGGACTTTTTTTAATTTGACGTTGGGCTATTTTTTTTATATTGGGCCATTTTTTTAATTTTGTGTGGAACCATTTTTATTAATTTTATGTTGGACTATTTTCATAATTTTATGTTGGACTATTTTCTTTAATTTTATGTTGGACTATTTTTTTAAACCTTTGTTGGACCATTATCTTTACATTTATCTTGGATCATTGTAGTTGCATCATTTTTGTTATTTCATGTTGGATCATTTTATTTAATTTTATGTTGAAAATATGACATTTTTATAAATGCCCCCACCCCAGTAATCCATACCAGACCCTTTGGGGTTTATTTACTAAAGCTGGAGAGTCCAAAATCAGACTCCCTTCTGCATAGAAACCAATCAGCTTCTAACCTCAGCTTGTTCAATGAAGCTTTGGCAATGAAACCTGGAAGCTGATTGGTTTCTATGCAGAAGGGAGTCTGATTTTGGACTCTCCAGCTTTAGTAAATAAACCCCTTTAGGTCTGGTAGGAAGGTTAGGAGGGACCCCACAGTAACATTTTGTTTGTTAAAAAAGTGCATGGGGTTCCACCCAACTGAGGATGCAGAGACCAATCACGTGAGCAGAGGGTAATCCTGGAGACAACAGGGAAGCCGATAGACAAGCCAAGGTCAGGACGGGTGGAGATCAGCACAGTCAGTGGATGAAGCCAGGGTCAGTGCATGGGTAGTTTGGCTACAAGTGTAGTAACAGCCAGGAGCTCAGGCAAAGTGGACTAGACTGAGCATGTCTTATATAGACAAGCAAACAAGGAGGTGGGCCAGGAAGTTATGGAAGGGAAGGAAATAAAACTCAGAGAACAGCAGACGATGCCCAGAGGTGAGCACAGACAAACACACATGTGAAAGGAATCAGGAACAGCACTGCAGCAAGGAGGTAAGAATACACAAACAAGAAACTGCAGGCTAACTTTTGACACCCCCCCTCCTGAAACATACCAGGCCACAATATGGGGTGTGCTTTGTGGTAGAGGGGCTTCCCCCCAAACCAGCTTGTCCCCATGTTGATGGGGACAAGAGACTCATCCCCACAACCCTGGGCTGTGGTTTTGGGGATCTGCAGAGGGGGGGGGGTAACTTATTGGAATGTGGAGGCCCCCTTTAATAAGGGAGCCACCAGACACCTGCCCCTACCCTTGTGAATGAGTATGGGGTACACAGTACCCCTACCCATCCACAAAAAAAGTGTACAATGTGAATAAAAAACAACAGTTTTTGGCAAGTCCAGTATTTGAAAAAAAAAAATGGTTCCATCGTAATCCATCATTAATCACGGCGTTCAGCATTGTCATGACAACGCCGTCTCGCCCCAAATTTTTTTTTTAAAAATTGATGCCCATTGATTAGTCTGCACTCGCTGCTGTCTGACATTTGTGAGTCAGATGTAAACAATTGGGCAGAGCTGGCTGTACTGTGATTGGCCAAAGCATTGTACCTGACCTATGCCTAGACTGCCACTGTTAACCCCTAAAAATGCCTATTGCCTGACCATCATGTTGTGCCCAAAGCTTTAATCACACTCCTCTCCAGGATATACACCCCCTGTCATACTCCTCTCCAGGATATACACCCCCTGTCATACTCCTCTCCAGCATATACACCCCCTGTCACACTCCTCTCCAGCATATACACCCCCTGTCAAACTCCTCTCCAGCATATACACCCCCTGCCACACTCCTCTCCAGCATATACACCCCCTGTCACACTCCTCCCAGCATATCACACTCCTCTCCAGCATATACACCCCCTGTCACACTCCTCTCCAGCATATACACCCCCTGTGATACTCCTCTTCTGCATATACTGCTTGCTTTCATACCCTCTGCAACATACAGTTGCAAGAAAAAGTATGTGAACCCCTTGGGATTACGTGGAATTTTGCATGAATTGGGCATAAAATGTGCTCTGAACATCATCTAAGTCACAACAATAGAAGAACACAGTCTGCTGAACATAATACTACACAAACATTAGATGTTACCATGGTTTAATTGCACATAACATGTAAACATTCACAGTGCAGGGAGGAAAAAGTATGTGAGGCCCTAGCTTAATGACTTCTCCCAGAGCTAATTGGAGCCAGGAGTGAGCCAACCTTGACTCCAATCAGTGTGATGATATTGGATGTGTTGCTGACAGCTGTCCTGCCCTTAAAAAACACACACCTTTTTTGGGTTTACTGGTTTCAAGAAGCACTGTCTGATGTGAACCATGCCTCGCAGAAAAGAGCTCTCAGAAGACCTACGATCAAGAATTGTTGACTTGCATGAAGCTGGAAAGGGTTACAAAAGTATCTCCAAAAGCCTTGATGTTCATGTGTCCACGGGAAGACAGACTGTCTACAAATGGAGAAAGTTTAGCACTGTTGCTACTCTCCCTAGGCATGGTCGTCCTGTAAAAATGACTGCAAGAGCACAGCGCAGAATGCTGCATGAGGTAAAGAAGAATCCCAGAGTGTCAGCTAAAGATCTACAGAAATTTCTGGCAAATGCTAACATTTTTGTTGACACATCTACAATAAGGAAAACATTAAACAAGAATGGAGTACATGGGAGGACACCACGGAGGAAGCCATTGCTGTCCAAAAAGAATATTGCAGCACGTTTGAAGTTTGCAAAAGAGCACCTGGATGTTCCACAGCACTACTGGCAAAATATACTGTGGACAGATGAAACCAAGATTGAGTTGTTTGGGAAGAACACACAACACTATGTGTGGAGAAAAAAAGGCACAGAACACCAACATCAAAACCTCATCCCCACTGTAAAACATGGCGGAGGGAGCATCATGGTTTGGGCTGCTTTGCTGCCTCAGGGCCTGGATGGATTGTTGTCATTGATGGGAAAATGAATTCCAGAGTTTATCAAGACATTTTGCAGGAAAACGTACGACCATCTGTCTGCCAACTGAAGCTCCGCAGAGGATGGGTGATGCAACAGGACAATGACCCAAAGCATACAAGTAATTCAACAAAACAATGGCTGCAACAGCACAGAATACACCTTCTGAAGTAGCCCAGTCAGAGTCCTGACCTCAACCCGATTGAAATGCTGGGGCATGACCTTAAGAGAGCGATTCACACCAAACATCCAAGAATATTGCTACACTGAAACAGTTTTGTGAAGAAGAGTGGTCCAAAATGACTCCAGATCGTTGTGCAGGTCTGATCTGCAACTACAGGAAACGTTTGGTTGAGGTTATTGCTGCCAAAGGAGGGTCAACCAGTTATTAAGTCCAAATGTTCACATACTTTTTCCTCCCTGCACTGTGAATGTTTACATGTTATGTGCAATTAAACCATGGCAACATCTAATGTTTGTGTAGTATTATGTTCAGCAGACTGTGTTCTTCTATTGTTGTGACTTAGATGACGTTCAGAGCACATTTTATGCCCAATTCATGCAAAACTCCACGTAATCCCAAGGGGTTCACATACTTTTTCTTGCAACTGTATGTAATATTCTCAGCCAGGGGTGGACTGACCATTTGGAAACTCAGGCACCGCCCGAGGGCCCGGGGTCAGTAGGGGGCCCCATGAGATGCCCCTGGTACCTTTTTCATAGGCTTTTTTGAGTTTGGGCAAGGACACAGGGGCCCCATGATCCCCTAATGCCCGGGGGCCCCATGAGTTGTCAGTCTGCCCCTGTTCCAAACCCTGGTCAGATATAGGAGGGGACACCCTTTTTTTAAATTTGGGATTAACAGATAACTGCTTACTCTCCGATTCAGTCATACTATGGCTTTCTCTCCCATTTGCTGCCTGCATATTGTAATAATTGCTTGATTATAGCCCATGTGTAAGGGAAAACTGGTGCATATGCTGTATGTGCTCATGTGCATGGCATCACTCATAGATTTGAACATAGACATGCGCTCATGTCCTCGCATGCGTTAGTGCTTCTACAGTTCCAATGGAATGGACTGGATTTTTAAGGGATGCTCTTGCTCTCTGTTAGGGTTGACTGGTCTTCAGCTTTTCCTGTGTCCTGAGTATATCCTGTATCTGATTTACGTTGATAACCCGGTTTGATACTGATCTGATCCTGCATTCTGCTTCTACTGCTGCTTGCCTGTTTGACCTCAGCTCCTCTCCTGACCATGACCACAACTCCTTTCCTGACCATGCTCCTGCCTACGCTTCTGTACCTCATTGCCCGCCTGCTACTGATTTTGGCTGCCTCTGTGACCTTGCTCTTGTCTCTGACTTGGCTTCATACTACTTTGGAGTGCCTGCTTCAGCTGTCCTTCCTATCAGCTAGAGTCTTCGCAGTGTGCTCAGTGGTGTATTTAGGTTTTGTGCTGCCCTAGGTACCACAAAAATTGGACGCCCCCCCCCTCCTCAGTGGAGGGAGCCTGACACTGACCAACATCAGACCCCCTCCTCCCTTCCCTCGTGGAGAGAGCCTGACAGTGACCAACAACATCCCTGCCCAGGGGCACACTGACCATTTGGAAACTCAGGCACTGCCCGAGAGCCCGGGGTCAGTAAGAGGCCCCATGAGATGTCCTTGGTACCTTTTTCATAGGCTTTTTGGAGTTTGGGCAAGGACACAGGAACCCCATGATCCCCTATTACCCGGGGGCCCCATGAGTTGTCAGTCCGCCCCTGCCCCATCACCCTCCACCAAAGAGCCTTCCACTAACACACACCCCTGGAAACAGAGAGTGCCAGTTGGGCTCTGCATACACCATCATCAGTCCACAGTCTTTCAAATCCAACCTGGTTCCCATGTCGCATATGTCCCTTCTTCTGGGGGACAGTGCTCCCCCCCTAAAAAATTCCACCCTAGGCAAATGCCTTGTTTGCCTTGTGGTAAATACACCTCTGGCTGGGCTTGTGGAGCAGGATACAGGCTCTGTGATGTCCCCTTACAAGTTCTGCACTGGGTTAGAGAGGTCAGAATACAGTTAAGAAAAGTGTGAATCACTGGGAAGAGCATTGTACACAAAGAGTTAATTGTACACACTGTTCTGCCTAATGTACAGCACAGTGGCTAAATGGTTAGCACTTCTGCCTGGCAGTACTAAGGTTGTTGGTTCAAATCCCAACCACAGCACCACCTGCCTGGAGTTTGCATGTTCTCCCTGTGCCTGCATGGGTTTCCTCCAGGTCCTTCGTTTTCCTCCCACACGCCAAAGACATGCTGGTAGGTTAATTTATTCCTGTCCAAATTGGCCTTAGTATGTGTATGTATGAATGTAAGTTAGGGACTTTAGATTGTACGCCCCTTGAGGGTTAGGGACTGATGTGAATGTACAATATATATATAAAGCACTGCGTAAATTGACAGCGCTATATAAGTACCTGAAATAAAATAATAATGCTGATTTCACATGACCGTGGGCATTAGCAAGCAGCAAGACCACTGGTAAAGCAGTACAGCCAGCCCTCCTGTACCGATCCCAGACCCCATCAGTTCAAGATGGGGGCCAGGGCACCTGCTGAGCAGGTTGACTGGCTGTACGTCCTTGAGACTCTTGTGGCCTCCCCTACAGCACTGCCGGATTTCTCCCTCTGGCTAGGCTGCAGGTGGATCGGTTCTGGTATCTGCACCTCCTTCTCTCTGCTGTTATACCCCCCTGCAGGACTGCCAGTTTCCCTCTCTTCTCTTGCGGACACACAGGAGGATCGTTTCAGGTTGGAGAGTGGTGGGGGTAGTTAATATGTCATATTTACTGGCCCTTCGTATTCAATCACCTCCAGTGAAGCTTAAGCTGCAGAGAAAGAGACTGATGTCCTCAGTCACTTTCTCTGTCTCAAAAGTGAGACATCGGGGGTCTAATATTTCATCAAAGCCCCCCTTCCTCCAACAGGTCAGTTTTAAAAAATGAAAAAAAAAATAATAAAAATTACAATTCTCAAAAATGTAAAATAAAATATTATTTAAAAAAAAAAATGAAAAAAAAAAGTGCTTGTTCACGTGTTCTTTGCTGTCTGAAGATCAGTCATTATTTGGATCTCACTTCAGAGAGCATTTGACATTCAGTAAGGAGGCATATTGCAGAGCAGTGCTATTCACCTGAAGGGGTCTTGTTCGATGAGGGTATCATTTCTGCCATGGCTTGCTGCAAAGCATAGCATCTCAGTCATGTCAGGAAGGCTGTACAGGGTCCCATGATTTCTAACAGCAGCATAGTTCACAGGATCCCCAATCGGGAGCTCCTCCCACAACCGTAAGCAGTTATGGACAATCTGATGGTCAACCTGAAATTTTTAAAGGACTGTTATCCCAAATGGATATTTACAATTATTATTATTATACAGTATTTATATAGTGCCAACATTTCACTCAGCGCTGTACATTACAATGCTCCCAATACATGCGACAGTACAATAACAATACAATGCGATACACGAGGGGTTCGAGGGCCCTGCTCCTTGGAGCTTACAATCTAGGAGGGAGGGGATAGTGGTATGGGAGGAATAGCTGTGGGGGATGGAGTGGTAGGAAGAGTGGAGGAGATCAGCAATTAGCTGAGGGCGGGGTAGGCTTCCCTGAAGAGGTGGGTTTTCAGGATGCGCCGAGAGGAGAGGAGAGTAGGTGAAAGTCTGATGGATTGGGGTAGTGAGTTCCAGAGGATGGGGGAAGCCCTGGAGAAGTCCTGGAGATGGGCATGAGAGGAGGAGACCAGGGAACAAGAGAGGAGGTCTTGTGAGGAGCGGAGAGTACGTTTTGGGTGGTATTTGGATATCAGGTCGGTGTTGTAGTTTGGGGCAGTATTATAGACAGCTTTGTACATCAGTGTTAGCAGTTTGAATTTTATCTGTTGGGCAATCGGAAGCCAGTGGAGGGATTGGCAGAGGGGGGTGGTGGAAACGGAGCGGTTAGTAAGGTGGATGAGTCTGGCCGCAGTATTCAGGATAGACTGAAGCGGAGATAGCCTGTGGTGAGGTAGGGCCGGTGAGGAGGGAGTTACAGTAGTCAAGTCGTGATAGGATAAGGGAGTGAATGAGTTGCTTAGTAAATCAATAAACAAATAACCTCCTTCTCCTCCACTCTTATCAAAAAGTCACACTTTCTCCCTAGAAAGTGTACAATATAACATATCCTTTCTGTGATAAACCGCCTAAATCCCCCATAAATTCCAAATAAAATAAATAAAGTACCACAAATAAAATTAGTTAATGCAATCAAAATTAATACAGTTAAAAAAAAAAATAAATAATAAAAATTGTGTCCAAATCAAATTCAGTCCCAAATATGTCCCAAAATTCAAATAAATCCAATGTGTCCAATACCAAGGTCCCAATTTTTCCACTTCAATCCAGTTTGAAGGAAAAAAATGATCCTAAATATTCCATGAAAACCTCAAAAAAGTAAAAAGAAAATCCATAGTGCATTATCTTTTAAATATATATAACAACACTCCACTCTGTGCAAAACGCAAAACCATTCTTAAAATAAAAAAAAAATAAATAAAATGTACTAATTAAATAAATAGATAAATAAATAAATAAAAAAAAAAAAACGTGACAAACTCCGTGAGCACTTCAATCACATATACACTCTGTGATCCAACCAATAGTGAATTACCCTCTATAATCCAAAATAGTGATACTGGGTACTATTACCCTCTGGGAGTTATTCTCAAGCATAGGCTATCTTATGGAATCCATATCCTTCCATTCCTTCACTTCAGGGTACTCTCTCCAAAGTCCTCATAAAGATAAGAAGGCTCTTAGGCAGAATTCAAACCATAGAAACAAATTTATTCATAACTTACATTAAAAGAAAGGAACTTCCAGCTCACAACATTGCTCCCTCAATGGCTCTGTACTGGCTGAACAAACATTTGGTTGAAAACCATGTGTAAACAACCAAAATGGCCGCGGCGACACTTCCGGTTGGCGTGCGTGCGTCTTGACGTCACTCCCCTATATATAATAACTCCCAGAGGGTAATAGTACCCAGTATCACTATTTTGGATTATAGAGGGTAATAGTACCTAGTATCACAATTCACTATTGGTTGGATCACAGAGTGTATATGTGATTGAAGTGCTCACGGAGTTTGTCACTAGAGATGAGCGAATCGAACTTGGCGAAGTGGAATTCGTTTCGAATATTAGGAAAAATTCGATTCGCGCCGAATCCGAAAAAATTAGCAAACTTCGGATGCACGAATCGAATTTTCCACGATCGGTCCCGATTTTCATCCCTTCTACAGCCGGCAAAAAGTGTCCCTGCAGAGAGCTCCGCTATTTCTGACAGTTCTCTGACAGTTCCTTCACATTTACAGCAGTTGAAACATTGTATCTATTTGTTTCCATTTAGGATACAGATGTTTTTATTCGGAAACAAATAGATACAATGTTTCAACCGCTGTAAATGTGAAGGAACTGTCAGAGAACTGTCAGAAATAGCGGAGCTCTCTGCAGGGACACTTTTTGCTGGACTGGAATTCTTCTTATTTTCATCCTACTTCTTCTTCTTCTTCTTCTTCTTCTTCATCCTCATCCTCTTCTTCTTCTTCTTCATCCTCATCCTCTTCTTCTTCTTCATCCTCATCCTCTTCCTCTTCTTCTTCATCCTCATCCTCTTCTTCATCCTCATTCTTCTTCTTCTTCATCCTCATCCTCTTCTTCTTCATCCTCATCCTCTTCTTCTTCTTCTTCTTC